CGAAGCAGGCAGTACTTTTTTAGGCGAATAAACGGGCTGCCTTGCTTACAAACAAAATGCGGCCTAACCGGCACGCCCGTTACCTTATTAGTTGACACTGGCTCCACTAACAATTACATAAATATAAATTGCAATATAGGAAAATCGATAAAAATAAAACCATTTAAAACCAAAACCTTACATGGTCACTCAATTATAAATTCTAGAAAAATAATAACGATGTGCGGACATCATTTAACTTTCTATGAAATTAAAGAATTAAACGACTTTGACATGATACTCGGAGAACAGGGGCTACGCCAAATAAAGGCAGAAATCAGTTTATTTGATTATAATTCAAAATATCAAAGAAAAAAGGCCCTAAAAGTAGAAACAAAGATTAACTATACTATTAACAATAAAAAATTTAAAGATCAAGTCGATGAACTTATGAAGATAAATGATAATATTAGTGAAACATTACCTTTTACAACGACGATACAAGCATCTATCAGGACTGAATCAGAAGATCCCATATGGACAAAACAATATCCATATCCCATGTCTGATCACGACTTTGTCAGGAAAGAAATTGAGAAACTTTTAAATAACGGTATAATACAGCCAAGCAAGAGCCCATATAACTCACCTATATGGACTGTTCCAAAAAAGGGCACCGATGACCAAGGCAAGCCCAAGCGAAGAATGGTTGTTGACTTTCAAAAGATTAATTCTCATACGATTACTGACAGATATCCAATTCCAGATGTTAATATGATAATACAAAACCTAGGAAAAGCAAAGATTTTTTCCACACTAGATTTAGAATCAGGGTTTCATCAGATACTAATTAAAGAATCTGATCGAGAAAAGACAGCATTCTCTGTCAACGGCGCGAAGTATGAATTTATCAGAATGCCATTCGGATTAAAGAATGCACCCTCAATCTTTCAACGATGCGTTGATGACATATTAAGAGAATATATTGGAAAGTTTGCGTATGTTTATATTGATGATGTGTTAATTTATTCATCTACAGCAGAAGAACATATGGAACACATACGGATTATAATTAATGCACTTCACAATGCTAACATGAGAATTTCTGACGAAAAGTCACATTTTTTCCAAGACTCAGTAGAATACCTAGGACATATTATAAAACACAATAGAATTACCGTAGATCCAAAAAAAGTTGAAACTATAAAGAACTACCCACAACCAAAAAATTTAAAAGAATTGAGATCTTTCTTAGGACTCGCTAGTTACTATAGGAAGTTTATAAAAGATTTTGCTAAAATCACGAATTCATTTGAAAGGAGAATTAGGAATGGTAACTAAAAATCAAAGTGCCAAAGTATCAATACGCTTAGACGCAGCAGCAGTAGAAGCCATGGAAAAAATAAAAAACGCTTTACAAGAACAAGTTGAACTTTTCCAACCAGATTTCTCTAAACCATTTAGCTTAACAACTGATGCTAGCAATTTTGCCATCGGAGCAGTCTTATCTCGAAATCGCCACCCAATCGCATTCATCTCACGCACACTAAATGAAACAGAGCAAAACTATAGTACAAATGAGAAAGAGTTACTAGCAATCGTTTGGTCTTTACAAAAACTTAGAAACTATTTGTACGGTGTAGCAAACGTAACAATTTACACAGATCACCAATCCTTAATTTTTTCGATTTCCGAAAAAAACCCAAATGCAAAGCTAAAACGTTGGAAAAATCTAATTGAAGAATACGGTGCCAAACTAGTTTATAAACCTGGACACCAGAACGTTGTTGCAGACGCACTTTCCCGACAACAAGTCAACAACACAACAGATTGTTCAGACCATTCACAACAAAGCTCTCCAAATGAAATTATGAAAAAAGTTAAACAACCACTAAACTCTTTTAAAAATCAAATAATTATTTTACAAGATAATGAAAGAAACGAAATTCTTAATCAAACAACATTTCCCGGTCAATCTAGACACACAATATTTTTTAAAGATACCCCAGATTTGCTCTCCAAATTAAAAAATGTAATTAAACCAAAACTCACTAATGCGATAAAAATAGACGAAGAAATACTATTTCACTTAAAAAAAGAAATAACTTCCACATTCCCAAATTGCACCCTGGTACTAGCCCAAAATCAGCTAATTGACGTAACTTCCTTAAATGAGCAAAGTGAAATCGTCAAACAGACACATAAACGTGCACATAGAAATTACAAAAATAACACACAAGAAATATTGTTGACCCACTACTGGCCCAACATTAAAGAGAGGTGCAGAAAAGAAGCAGTAGATTGTGAAATATGTTTACAGCACAAATATGAAAGACAACCAAACAAACAACCTATAGGAAAAACCCCAATACCAACACGAGTAGGAGAATACATACAGATGGACATATTCCATATCAATAACATGCAGTATCTTAGCTCCATAGATAGATACTCCAAATATTGTTTCCTACGAAAACTAAACACAAAAACAAACTGTCACGAATACATAGAAGAAGTACTAACACAAGTTTACCCAAATGATAAATATCTCACGACTGATAACGAGAGTACCTTTAACGCACTCCGTCACGCCTGTACATCATTCAACATCAAACGCTCAAGTTGAACGATTACACAGTACACTAATCGAACTCTGTCAAACCTTAGCTGCAGAAAATAAAACAGCTCCCGCCGACGAATTATTCAACGCAGTTCGCCAATACAACAGGACAATTCACTCCTTCACAGGATATAAGCCCGAAGACGTGTTCTTTAATCGTGATAAATACCCTGATATCAAATACACACTTGAAGATAAACAAGCAAAACTACTCCAACATCACAATTAGAACAGGAAAAGCATAACTTACAAACCAGGTGACCTAATTTACAGCCGAACCGATCGCCGTAACAAACTCGCTACAAAATATAATAAGCATAAGGTGAAAGAAGATCGTGGGGACACAATCCTAACAACTAGGGGGAAAATAATACACAAAGATAGCATAAGAAAAAATAGCATACCATGCAACAAACAGGATTCTTAAATTTAATAATAATAACCTGCGGGTTATGCGATGAAATCACCGATTTGACTGGTAAGAAATACGTACTCACTGAACTAGATTCCGTGTATATTTATGAGACTTCATCCTATCTTTACCATGTATCGAATCTATCTATAATATTAGCTCTATATGAAAAAATAGTGAGAACTAGATATGATTCAATTCAAACTGAAGGAAAAAATATAATAATTGATAAAATAGAAACTCTGAAGACACAGTTAATACCATCCGAGTATCGTGCCAAACGCGCCCTTAATTTTTAGGCTCAGTATTAAAATTTGTTACAGGATTACCAGATCACGATGATCTAGTTGAAATTAAGACAGGACTTAATCAACTTATCGAAAATAATAATCAACAAAGGACAATAAATTCTCGATTTGAAAAAATCTTAACAACCCTAGATCCACAATCTATTTTTGATAATTCAATACTTACGGAAATATACAGTGAACTATTAACTATTACAAATACCATTAACTTCGCAAAAACAGGAAATTTCTTCTCTGGAACACTTAATATCAAAAAATGTAGAAGAAGTAATAAAAAACGAAGTATATGATATTCCAATAATAAATATACTAGAATATTCTGATATCCACATATGTACCTTTCATGATGCTATTATAACAATCTACAAATATCCTGTAATAAGAAATAAATGTAAAATGTATAATCTAACCCCATTAGCCTTTAAATATGGAAAATATCAACTTAACAACAAAATAGCTTTATGTAATAATACATTCAACAACTTATCAAAATGTAAAAACTATGTAGGCACATATATTTGTAAAACAGAACCAAAGGATAATTGTACTATTCCTTTATTATTAAAACAAAATGCTCACTGTAATATTATCCAAGAAAATAACATTCCCTTACAAATATTATATTATTATAGACTATGAACACATATGGAACGGACTCAAAGTAAACGGTCCACATTTAATCCAATTCAATTTTAATACAACTATTGATAATAAAACTTATATTAACCATAAACAGGAAATAAAAAATGTAATACATGCCCATCAAAACGAAAAAGTTAATATATTGAAAATTTTAAACTCCGAATCAGATTATAAATTTACCAATATACAAGAAATGTATAAATTTGTGATTCCAATTGAAGAACATCCTTGGAAATTTACTTTATATTTAACCATAATAATAATTATACTAATTCTACTTATATACTTAATTATAAGATTACATACATATCGACAACTACAATTAAGCACCAAACGTCGAAGAAACTTCGAATTAGCTTACCTAACCGAATTACAAAGATGTCAAAACCTAAACCCTTCGAAATGAGGACATTTCATTTTTAACACCGGGGAGAGTTAACGACGTTAATACATATACTGCATATATTACATACATACATACACTACATACATAGCTAACATGCCTGGTCACATACATTACATATATACATAAACTATAATGTACAAATAAACATGTTTGTCTCATAAGTAACAAAAGAATATGATAACACGAAAACACGTAAACAACCTACTGATAAACTATAACATGTTTGTCTCATAAGTAACAAAAGAATATGATAACATTGTAAACAACCTTCAATAACAAATTTAATCGCTAAACCAATAACAAACACCATTTATCATCAGTAGTAGAAATGGTATAAATAGATGTAAGCATAAACATGTAAGGAGTTCGAGATTATACGAATTCAAATAAAGAGCTCTTGCTCAGAAAAATATAAAAATATTTTTTTATATAACTTTCCTGACTTGAGTATTAAACTCTCGCAACGACGCCCTCGCGAGGGCAGAGCTAACGAGGCCCTCGTTTGCATGCCGCTCTACTCTTGCGCTGCCTTCGTTTGCTTACTCGCTCGCTGGCTGCTCAGCGCGTGCGCTCGTACTTAACGAATGCTCGTTTGCAAACAGCCTCGCTTGTTGCTCGTGAGTTGCGCAAACTCAGAGTAAACTAACGAGCGAGCGAGGGGCTAAAATGAGGCAAATCGGAACCCTGGTCTTGACGATCAACTTTGTTCATTTTTGAAAAAGGCAGTAAAATGCACTACAATTCAATGAATTGGAGTTGGACGAACGATTTCCACAGGCTATTTCAAGTGGACTGCAGCCGACGCTTATCCAATAAGCAGCGAAAGAGAGCGTTTGCATACGCTGTAGAAGTAGCTCAACTCGAAAGTAGATGCTTAGGAACAACGCTTCAGTGGTCCTGTTGGTTAAAAAAAAACTTTTGCTCATAAGCAAACTGATGCATGTACGTATGTATGGCTTATACTTAAGCATGTACGAATGTATTCATATATGCTTTATTTGTTTAGATTTTCTCTGCCATCGGCTGTAGTGTGGAACCAGCTGTCCGCATTGAAGTTTATCTACCGGTCATTACAGCAGTCAATACGATTCGCCGCGAGTCTGCAAGTTGATGTTAATGCTCAAAGATTGATTTCCACTAGATTTTGTATATACATACATATGTATGTTAATCGTAATTCAGTATACGTCCGCTATCATACATATATAAAACTGATCATAAGTAAAACGACGTCAGTACGAACGATATATATATATATATATTTTTTTTTAAATGAACCTTATCATGTATAAACCGGTACCGGCACAGTTGGTACAATTGGTAACGCAAAGTATCAGTCAAGCCTACGAAAACTCAATCACTTTCTTTATTTGTGGCACCTGCTGTTTTCCTCGAATATTTGTTTTGCAAAACATTGGAGTGAGTAGCTCGAGATTTCCAAGAACTCCAGAAACCAGAAGGCGAAGGGTGGGTTAGCTGAAACCTCATTTATACACATGGTGGAATAATAGTAAGGTATTGTCAGTAGCGACGTGTTTGTTGTAATTTTAACAAAATCGATACGCTTATTTCCAAGGATGCCTACCACAAAACTTAAAGGAAATAGTACTAGAACTACTCCTTTTCATGATATCTCTCTAAAAGAAAGCGTTTGCATCACTGTTTTTTTTACCTCTTCTTCATTATGCATTTTCGTGTTGCAAATTAGACTGAAAATCTGAAACTCTGAGTTATAAATCATAAAATTGCAGTGTTTGCAATGAAATAAATCATTTTACGTTGTAAATAAAATACAAGTAAGCAGTTTAAAAAACTAGTGTAAGTTTAGTAATGATAATACTAGCTGTAATGCAAGTAAAGTTTACGCCTCGACTAAAGTTTGGTATACAGAATTGGCTAGTTGAAAATTTGCTAAATAAAAAAGCTTTGGACCACTGCATTTGATCCAGTGAAACGTATTTTTAACCAATTGGATACAACGCCTTTTAGTCCCCAGTGCATTTGCTTAACAACCCACCACATTTAACTTTGTTTTTGGTACCATATCCAGCCAGGTATACATAACTTTTATTTGCAAGTAAGGAAAACCTAATGTCTTCTTTTTCAGTGTTTTTGTTGCACGGACAACCGCTTTTCTACCTACAAGTTTGACCAATAACTCCAGTACGTTTGTCGCGAGCACATCAACATTTGACTCGTGTTTTGTAACACGGACAACCGCATTTTTAATCAGTTGGATACCACGCCTTTTAGTGCCCAGTGCATTTGCACTACATTTAACTTTGTTTTTGGTACCATACTCAGCCAGGTATACATAACCTTTATTTGCAAGTAAGGAAAACCTAATGTCTTCTTTTTCAGTGTTTTTGTTGCAGGAACAGCATTTCGATCTCCCCATTTGCTATCTAAAAGCGCTTTTTTAGCCGTTTTCAACGCCCGGAAGATTCGTATTTTTGTTGACCTGTGAGCTGGACTTTAGTAATAAGCGTTACGTAAGCTAATTAATATTTTGAATAAACTAACTTAATTTTTTCCACAGCATATAAGAGGTAGCGGTAATTTTTGCATACTTTTTGTATTATGCCTACGGTGACCATATTAACCAACGTAAAATAAAGGACATTTTTTCAAAATGATTTGGGAATATGTACATGCAATTTGTATAATAGAAGTACCTTACCCATATCATAATTTAACAAAAAAAATAAAATTATTTGGACTGCGTAATTACAACTTTCGGTTTGATATTTAGTAATAAATTTTAGCTATAGAAAAAAGTAGTGATAGTAAAATAATCGACATCGTTGTTTCAATAAAAACACCGCTTTGGAAAATGATCTAATTTTATTTTTTGTCATTTGGAATATATGCAAAAGTAACTGTTTCAATCGAAGTATTATTTTAATATGTAGACAATGCCTAGCTCTTGTGCTTTGTGCCACTCGTCGTGGGCACATATGAAGCTTAGCTTTTTCAAAGTGCCAGCATAAGAAATAATAAAGAGAAAATCGGAACAGGCTTCAGGTGTGGAATTGCATAAAAACTCAAGAGTTTGTCAGCTTCATTTCGAAGAAAAAGATTTTGAGTTCGATCAAATGGGAAAGTAGCTGTTCCAATGAGAGTTGAATATATATCCTCTTGGAATAATTCACTCGTCGACGATGATTGCCTCAACCCAAACCGCCGAGTATGTTTTATTATACACTGAAAAGTTTTTTAACTACTTATGTATGTATATAATATAGTACCAGGTTGACCGAGCCTTGCCCGGAGTGCATATACTTTTTAAAGTTTTGAAGATTTGGATAGCTTTAAAAATATATTTGGGAAATAAAATGGGATTTCGATATATAATAAGTAAATTCCTTACTCTAAAATTTATGTGGCAACCCTATTCCGAAATACGCTGGAATGAATGGTACATATCTTGAGTATATATGTATATACTGTGAATAGATAAGAAAAATGTTGATTGAAATTAACAAAGTATAAATTTTTATTACATAGAAACGTGGCAAACCTGATGAAAAATATTTTTTGACAAA